GACGGAAAACAAAATTGTATTAATAGTAAGTGGCAAACGAAAAAAAGTCAGCAATTGTTTTTCTGGAACTTTAGTGACGACAGGGAAAACGAGAGAACAGAATACTTGTAGACTTGATACATGACGGATGGTAGAAGGAAGCCAGGTTGCCATAGTAAGTGTGATGTTATAATAAATGCAGATTGAAATCGCAGTGCGAACATAAAATGGATGCAAAATGAAAATGGTAATTCTGGAATTCGGCGACGATTAGACGGATGTGTTTAATTAAGACCCAGCGGTCAATGACAAGAGAAGTGATGATTTCAAATTTGACTCAAGATTATGAGAAGGCCAAGAAATGGTTCGTAGTGGAGAAAATATTTAAATTTTCAAACATAAATGGCAATTAATAAAGGAAAATGAATGCGAGATAGCATGAATGAGTTCTGTATTTGTTCTGTGTGAATGTTGTGTAAATATTACTTGTTTCTAGGAGTAAAATATTTGTGTACTCAGGTTCTTTTGTGATATATCATAATATATATTTTGTGTTAGGCAAGAGAGGCGTCAACGTGGCTAAACAGTTGTGTTTCTTTTATAAATAAATCAAGTTACACCTACACTTGCGGCAGAAACAACTTATTGTGAAAGATGAATTTGATTGTAAGCGAGAGAATGATAAATTACGTGTCCAGATCCAAAACAATCGATGATAAGCATCCCGTTTCCTTTATAGAAAAGGGCTTAGCGTACTTACACCCTCAAACTAGTTTATTGAACGATAAATACAATTTTCTATGAATTTGGAACACAAAAATCGCTGGTTACGTTCATTTGATTGCACACAGTGGGGCAAAAGAGTAATGTTTTATGATTAAAAAGAATTACGAGATAGAGATGGGCGGGGAACCGTTTCAGTTGGCTACCCAGGTTGGGGCACAGATATGTATATACGAGTAAATAGTTCCATTTTTGTTATTATTATTATTATTATTATTATTATTATTATTATTATTATTATTATTATTATTATTATTAGGAAATTGGGAACCGTTTCAGTGTATTGACATGAGATATCATTGTGTTACACAAAAAACTTTCCAATTTACTTTGCGGCAAGGAAACAATCGGAATATGTCATAGTATGAAATACAATAAATTTTCGTGTTACTCTTTTGTTCCACCGACGTCACGTAAACACATAAAACGAAAAGATATGTTGTCACGTAGCTGTTACGGATTTTAGTCGGCTGTCCGTTACGTCCGTTAAGAACAATCAAAACAAATGAGTTGTTACTAACGATGGCCTATGAGTTGGCTAGACTAATCTAAGAAAAGGTAAAATTTATTTATATTTTTTCTTATAAAAAGAATACCGGGCTTGGTAGGTTATTTGATGTACATTATAATGTTGTTAATAACTATGAAATGGCAATCCGAATTACTTTAAAATTGTTGCTAAACGATTACATGAAACTGGAAAATTGCTATTGATCATTGATCAGTGTGCTGGATTAGAGAACACAAAATTGGCTGTTATGAAATATTTATTGAAGAATAAATTTTATTCGAATAAAAAATATCTATCTTCAATACTGTAGTTGTAGGAAGACGCCTACCAAATTTAAAACTTTAGCAAGTTTCAAAAATTCAGAATTGTCAGTGAAAAAAGGGCATCTTTAAGTGCATTTCACTCTATCCTCACAAGAAATGTAAAGAAAAAAGTTGGGGTCGTTTTTGAGAAACGTTTGGAAAGGTCTTAGGGGCTGCATGTAAAGAACCTTCAAATAGAAAGTTTTTCAAACTCGCAAAACATCGAGTCGAGGTCAGATCGACAGGGAAATTTTCATTTTTGGAACAATTCTGCGAATAGTTTTGGCGCTTTTGGCGTTGTTTTCAGACGGATAGATCGGCAAACAGACGGACGTTTAAAGAAAAACACTTTTTCGATATCAGGGGACCCCAAATGTGTATTTCCGTTGAAATCAGTAAATCTATTTTCCTACATTCCATGTTTTCCTTCTATACATTACTCCGTATATACGCAGGTATACAAGAAATTTAAAAAATCGAGAAGTAAATGGTATAAAATGTTATTGACACGAAACTTAAACAGGAATACACATATTTCTCTTACGCCTTTTCACTTGTACAACTGGCGCGGAAAACACAAAACTATCCTCGGTGACAAGTGACAGTCATCCATCGTCAAGTCTGTAATCTCTTGGGTCACACCGTAACGTTATTCTGCAGGGTCACTACGACAGGAACGAGTACCAGCCCCTCAAGAACCTGACAGTGCTGCGGCTCAGCTCCAACTCCATCCACTCGCTGGACAGCGACATCTTCGAGCACGTGGCGCATCTTCGCGTGCTGTCGCTAGCGTTCAATCCGATGCGCGTGATCGACACGCCCACGCTCAACGCCATCTCGTCGCTGGCGTACCTCGAGCACCTCGACCTGACCCACGTGGGCATCGAGTCGCTGCCGCCGCACGTCCTGCACACGCTCAACAACCTCACCACGCTCAACGTCTCGAGCAACCAGTTCACGGAGGTGCCGTCCGAGCTGGCCAACTCGCACCAGCTGCGAGAGCTCGTGCTCTCCTCCAACCCCATTCGCCTCCTGGGGGAAGGGTAAGGTTCCGGCCTGGCCGAGATAACGCTCTTTCAACACGAATATTTATTTCTTAATCTAATCTATATACATTTATACATACGTAAATACATTTATACATACGTAAATACATTTATACATACGTATATACATTTATACATTTCAGTTGCCGACTGGCTTAGTGTCAATTCTTACTTCTATATTACTATTATATACATTTTTATATTACATAAATCTATTCGAAATCTAGGCAGGGGCTCCAGCTTGTCTTCTGGTGTTGTTGCAGATATTTTTTTGTTGTTCCGCAGCTAGCTTCCCGTGGCATGGGATGGAGGAGGGCGCCTCTGCGGACTCTGTCCCGCGCTATCTGTTTGTACTCACGCGGGGCCAGGTGTATATTGCCGGTGTGCGTGTAGTAACATGCCGTACTGCCATCAATGGCCTCAGTGACAATTTTTTCCTGAAGGCTTTTAGCTTGTGGCCTTCTGCAACTTTCTTTAGTGCGGCGTCACTACCCGCACACCATTCTCCCAGTGCCCCTATCACAAGCGGGAGTACTTCGGCGGTATGGTAACCGACGGTAATGAGGTGGGCGCGGGTGGCTTCGTATTTTTGGAAAACATTCTATACAGTACAGTTGCGTTTAATTGTTTAAATGATATACGTTTGCTGCCGACATCTCACTGCGTTTTGTGGCGGTTGAGGTACTTAAGTTGGGTGCGGTGCGTGAAATCTCGTGGTGGTGTTAAGCTTCTTCACGACATCGCACTTGTGACTTCTATTCAGATTGCAAAGAATGTTGTGAAGGATAATGTGTTATAAGAGTTGGATCATTCACTATATAGAGCACATCGGGCCATCTACGACGCCTACTACTTATAAAAACTAAAGAAAAACCTTCTGGGAAGAAATGTCTCAGACGAGTCTGAGGTGAAAAAAGCCGTTTTGACCTTTGTGCGAACAAATGTTTAGGATATTTTTTTCAAAGTTCTAGAAATTTTAATACATAGATGTGAAAAGTGGGTTGGAGTAAAGGATGATTATGTTAAAAAGTTACGTTCAAGGTGAGGCTAGAAACTTACGGAACCTTCCACGTAAGTTCGTCTCTTGGTAAGATAATTGCCATTTATTTTTCAACAAAAATTGGGAGTACATAATGTTTGCTCTGAAGTTATTAAAAATTACAAAAAGCACTTGTATGCAATAGGACGTTTCTTTTATTTTTAAAAAAGATTTTGTTACAATGACAGCAATTGTACTTTTATTTTATACCCTAAAAGAAAAATACAGCTCATATCCCAAAGACACGACTCCCGTTGATCATAAATTTCAAAAAATATGCATTTTAATTATATAAATGAATAGAAGTGATCACACGCATATTGCTCGTCAACTAGGGTCACGATAATTTTCTATTTGGGTGCAAAATAAAATTAAAATAAATGTTATACTTCCAAATCTTGGCCTCTGTTATCAGAACATGCAAAAAATAAAATTCACTGTGTAAGCATGTCAAATTCTATAAATTTCTTGAAGCTATTCTATAACTGAAGAAAAAATAATAAACAACTCATTTTAAAGGGAAGTTTAATTTCCTGCAACTAGTCGTGTTCTCGTATTCCCGGTGTGTAGTATCCTAAACATTTCTTTGGCGACGACAATTCTTTGGTTTTCTGTTCCCTTCTGCGGTTTGATATGTGCAAAAGTACGAATCCTATATTTTCACCTAACATTTCGGCTTATCAATCGCTTCACTTACAAGTATGTTTTTATAATTCCACCAGGGTCAAATCTTATACGTGCACCAATGAAGACATGTTCGTATACATATGCAGGTGTTTCCAAAGTGTTCAATTATTTCTATCTAATTGTCTGGCGAGATATTTAACATCGCTCGCATCTATCTTTTCATAACAGCCGACGCGAATTGTTCATATTACACCGAGAGAGCATACCGTTTTCCCAATTGTCTAAAATGTGTTCCATTCTGTGTTTGTGTTGGTTCTTTCGCTGAGAGAACGCGCTTCGTCCGCAGGTCGTTCCCGCCGCAGATGGAGTCGCTGCGCGTGCTGCAGATGGACTACATGCACAACCTGACGCGCGTGGGCGCGGCGGGCTTCGCGCCGCTCAAGGGGCTGAAGGTGCTGCGGCTGTCGCACAGCCCCACGCTCACCGAAATCCACCCCAACGCCTTCGTGGGCACGGCCGAGTCGGAGGGCAACGCCACCTATCCGCACCTCGAAGAGGTACTCGCCCACACACACACATACACACACGCGCGCGCGCCTGGGTCTCAAGGTTAGGCCACCTTCACACGGAGCCACTCGGTGGCGCCACCGCGGTGGTTCGGTGGCGCATCCGAGTGGTCATGCAATGTGAAGGCTGCCATTTGGATCTGCGACCCGCGTCTGCGCTGATGATGGGAGTTCGCCGCCGAGCGTCACAACGGCGCGACTATGCCGCTCGTGCGAATACCTCCAATTAAACCAATGCTTTGCCAGAAGATGCGCCACTCGAATGTGCTGCTGAGTGGCGCCGTGCGAAGGGGCCCTAAGCGTCACAGTAGCGCGTCTGCGCCGTTCGTGTGAATACCATCATTTAAACAAATGCTTTGCCAGCAGACGCGCCACTCGGAAGTGCTGCTGAGTGGCGCCGTGTGAAGGGGCCCTTACACCAGTGAGCGCGGTTCGCGTAGCTCTTTTTTGTCGCCGCTAGCTGCTCCAGATTTACAATCGGCGGCGGAATGCCCATTATTTATCTGTTAATTTTGCATTAGGACTATTGTTTCTATGAATATAAGAGTTCCTTTCTCATTAATTTGAACTGCCGTCATGATACGAAGTATTCTAGATTTCAAACGTGAAACAATTTTTTTAAGTGAAAATTTTAAATAAAATCGCATTGCTTTCCCATATCTAGTGGACTAGATATGAATGGATGAAACCAGAACCGTATAAGAGACATGTTATACATTCTGAGAAAAACTTATTTATTTTAGGCTCTATGTCAGTCGCAATGTATTTTCGTGGTTTTAATAAACAATTGAAATGCCATAGGTTTAATGATGAAAAAAGCACCACAACTTTACAGTTATATTGACTTAAACAGATTTCTCTGAAATTATAAAATGTCACTTTTACCGTTCTGGTTTTGCACCCATTCATATAATTATTTTACTCAATACACTAATGATTTTGTAATTCAGTAATACGAAACGCGTTGAACTAGGTAGTACAAAGATTTGAAGTACCTTTTTATATTAAAATACTTAATTAACAACGACCGAATTCAGAGAGTTGATAAAATATCATGATAAAAACGTCGAGAAGAAATTTTTCTCTCTCAGTGTCGTTTGCAGAAATTGCATTTTTTAAAATATTCTGTACGAGAGATTGCTAAACCACTAGGCAAATTTCTCTACAGAAGAGATTTGCTAATTGTGTAACAGTGCTTCAGCTACCTAACAACCCCAAGGCGTTGTACCTGAAGATAAAGCAGAGCGAAAATAACAATGACAAAACTTTGAAAGCGTCACTTAGAAGTATGAAAGAATTGATAACACAACGATGCCGGGATGTTAAAAATACACGTGGCCACACAAAACAGTTGATCAGACTCCAAAGATTTGACCACATGTTTCCTATGAATTTCGAACGCGCTGAATCCGCAGTCTGAAGCCAGAATTACATTTTTTTTAAATCACAATAAACATTGTGACATTGAATTATTTTATTTTCGGGGTTTGTTCGTTGCTCATATATACAGAAACATGTGTCAAGTGTTTGGGTCTGACAACAACCCCCGAAAACAAAAAAATACAATTTCTTAATGTCGGAGCAAAATCCTAAAATACGGACCACGGGCCGCGGGCGATGTTTCCTTTCTCTTCCTTGTCCTATCCCCAGCCCTCTCTTACACACACTTACTACACTGCCACACATGTCGGTTGTAGCTTACATCTTTGTCCCGGCTGGGGCGGTGCCCCGCTGGCGGGAGATACCCAGTTCAGGAAAACCCCGCTAGCCGACAGAAAGTTCGGTATCGGATCTCGCCATCTAACGGCAGTAGATCACCAGCATTCCCCGAGGAAAAACATGCACAACACTCACGAGATTAATGACCTTAGCAGCTGACGCGCCTGGAATCACTAATCGATCAATCAATATAGAAAGAAAATCGTAATTATGAAAAATATTAACATCACGTACTTCACGTAACATCACGTAAAATATTAACGTCACTGTTTGATGAGCTATTTGCCTGTTGTGCGCAGCTCATCCTGCGCGGAAACAGCCTACGCACTTTGGACTTCTCGCTGCTGCGCCGCTGGGACGAGCTGCAGATGTTGGACTTGGAGAACAACAACTGGCTGTGCGACTGTGATCTGCAGTGGATGGTGTCCGAACTGGAGCCCATCATCAACAGGACCAATCCGAGTTTATTACGCAACTTCCGGTAAGAAATGAATGAAAATGCGATCAAGCGGTTTAAAGGAAGTATTGAAACGAAATTTAATTTATTTTAGTACTTTTATTTGTTTTGTCCAAATCTAGAAACACAAAGAAGGGGGGTGGACTCAAGGAGCCCACCATCTTGATACTTCTGCCAGTTCAATTGATTCGTGTACTCTACATCATTGAAAATCAATGTAATTGTTGATATAATTTCACTCTTTGTTTTTCACAACAATGGCAGAAGATATGTGTATTACTCGCGCAACTTTTCTTGAACTCTCCTGTGACGCATCTTCACCTGCTTCGGTCATTTCTTAAGATTTTGGGGAGAAAATCATGGACAGAAGTTTTCGCCTTCAAAAGAAAATTGTTTCGATTTCGCGCCAGTGGAGATGTGTTTGTAATGGTGTCATCAATGCTCGCTGCGAGCTTTTGCCTTCAACTGTTTATTGTGTCAGAGAGGGAGAAAGAAGGTCATCGTTCACGAAAATTTGCGCGAGTAATACCACTTTTTTTTATATCCGCGCTTTTCTTACGCGGATAAACTCTCCCTTGGCAGAAGACGTAGTTTCTCCGCGGATTTTTAGTGGTTGTATTATATTTCCCTTTTCATCTACGTGGAAAATTTGGTTTGTTTGCGTTGGCAATGTTGGCAACGTTTGTTCTTTTTCGTAAACGTTCATGAAACGAACTGGTGGTAAGAGTGCAACTATTTTTCACTTGTTTATTCACTAATGATGTCGGAAATGTTGGCTGAATGAGAAATAGAAGGATGCTTGTAAAGGAGAGTATTATAAATCAGATTGTGATTAAAAGTGTAAGGAATTTCAAGGAATTTGAATTTTTAAGTGTTCAGTAAATATATCTTAGTGAGGACTTACACAATTTTGCTATACGAATTATACGAGTGAGTAGGAATAGACGTTACTACTTATACTCTTTTATTGCTAGGGTTAATAGGTTCATTTTAGTTTCCCCTTACACGTAGAATAGATATGCCGTACGTAGTTGGGAGCTGCAGGTAAATTGCCGATTTCTCTATAGAAAAACTTGTTCTGACCTTGCTATCTCTAACTGATCCTAGCTACATGGCTAGATTGAAAAATGGGATGGACCATTGGGACTCGAACCCTTGGTCTTCCCGCTTAAAAAGCTTCTGCGCCAACGCCGTTTCCCGTTAGCATCACACAATCGTTTTACGTACACGGCGGTTCAAAAATACTATTCAAATTTCATACAAGTATGCATTTCAATCTAATGATCACAGAACATCCTAACGGAACCTGATAGGAAGAATACGTGATTTAGTTTCAATCCATTGTCCCTTGATCGCATGTGTATAGCTTTTAGTTCTCGAATGCTTTTTGTTCAGTTCGCGCCAAACTGTCGAACCAGATGGCGTTTAGCGTTCTTCTTAGTTCGCCACCACTGTTGCCAGATTTAACTCCCTGTGACTTTGTATTGCGGAGAGTGTATTAAGGATATTGTTTATGAACCACCTCTCCCAAAACACCTGGAAGAACAGCAAAATCGGATCGCCACTGTTGCAACGGCAGCGACGACGACATACTTCCTCCTGTTTGGGGAGAATTAGAGAAGCGCTGTGAAATTGTCCATGTCGCCAGTGGAGAACATATTGAACATTCATATATAAATATATAATCCAATAATAAAAGTTTAAGCATTATGTGTTTGTTAAATAGAATTTATTTAAAAAATATATTTATTGCGTTAATATTATTAAACTTGACTAGTCGCGACCAGTACCTATAATGAAAGATTCTGTTCATGGTGTCGATTCCTCTCTAATGAACTGAATGAGTGATGCAAAGGAAACGTATCAGTGTAAACTTAGGATATACCCGTAGAATTAGTTACACTATTAATATATCTATTGTTAACTTTGATTTTTCATCTTGAGAATTACAAACATATAAATATGACATTAATATTGCCTGAAATTGTAACAATATATTTTATAACAATGTAGTATCAGATAGTGGAGAAGATCTTGCAAAAGAGATCGAAACGTCTGTCGTTGGAATACAATTTTTGAATGATGGCTGGAATTGTCGTCTGTAATTTATTGCATTTATCCAGTGATCTTTGATTTGTTCATATTGTTGACGATAACATTGTTAAAATTTTCATAAGTGTAGTACTTCAATGTTCCAAAATATTCATTCTTTAAATACGTGCATGCGTCGGCGATGGTGTAATGGTTAGTGTATCGGACTGTTATACCCAAGTTTGTTCAAACCCGATCGAAACCGTGGAGTTTTTAAGGGCAAAAAAATCATCGTATGCCTTCCTTCGGAGGGGAAGCAAAGCCGGCTGTCCCATGTTAGTAGGTAGATTTACTTCCATATAAAAGATCCTCAAGCCTAAATGATGTCTCTGAACTAAATTCAAATCACCTGTTTCGTCGCCCAAGAAAAAAAACCTTTCTCCGCTAGTTGGCGAAAGGAGCGTAGCGAAATTTGCGGAAGAGCGGGCTTTACGGCCCGAGTCTCGCCACGTAATTCAATACATTATTTTCGGATCATTCTGTAAATGCGGTGGACGGTGAATGTGACTCGCGCGCGCGCGTGTTGGCGGCGTAGGTGCACGCAGCCGGAGCCAATGGCGGGCCAGAGCATCTTCGAGCTGCACCTGCGCCACTACCACCTGCGCTGCTTGGACGCGGACGGCGCGCACCCCGAGCGCGACGGCCTCATCCTGGTGGGAGTGTTGGTAGGCGTGCTGATGGCCGTGCCGGCCACGCTCGCCCTCGTGCTGTGCTGGCGTCGCGGGGGATTCCCCTGGCCGCTGTCCAACGGCCCGGCCTCCTACAGCCGCGCATTCTACCGGCGCGCCGATAACATCGACGACTTCTAGCCGCCGCGGCGCCCTCGCTGCCAGGGACGTGGACGTGGGAGGAGAACGATGACTGCGAAAACGGTCGTTAGTCTGGTTCGAGAGACTGCTTAAATCACCGGTGCACAAGAAAAGTGACATTTCGTAATAATACAGTTGTTTTTCTAAACCACTTCCTTCACGAGAAACTAGGAGACTGTGATATATTGAAGCGGTCATATAATGTACACCACTGTTATTCCTAAGATAGGAGTATTATTTTATGTGGCAAATTATTAGGAACACCAATATTTTTGAGAATGTTCCTGTCAAAAAATAAACGGGATACTTTTAAATAACTTTTATCTTGCATTCGTGGTAAAATAAAAAGTTTTTTTCTCCATTACACCAGCTCATATGGTAATTTTTATATTAAATAATGCGGTATTAAATAATAAATTTCATACTGTATTGGATAGCAGGTATTACATTCTAAGGTGTACATTATATTTGTAACTCTACGTTACAAAGGAAACAAAATTGACAGCGAAAAGTGTATTCTTGGATAAAATAATTCTATGCTTTGAAAATCCACGGCATCTCATCCAATTTTTGCGATAATGGAATATTTTAACTCACCTGACCAATTTTATTGCGGTTTCTGACGCATCTATTGTGTTGTAAGTTCAAAAGACTTTAATTACTTTAATAGTCATAACAATGTATGCTTTCATTCAGAAGTAAAAAAAGCATTATTAAATTGCTACTCAGATAAATTAGGTAAATGTTGAATCTGATTCTCCTGAGGTTCAGAATTCTAAAGAATGTTTTTGGTATATTTGTAATGATTTTTAATGATAATGATAATATTTCATTGTACGCGGTTTTCATTGTGAAAAATATTAGGGGAATATTTGCAACATATATTCCGTGAATTCTCGACTGATATATGAAAATGGTTTGTTATTTATATGTATCATTTCATTGATATGAATTATAATCAAATTTTAATTTATGATTTTATAATTTTAATATATCAATATTTAATACCACAAGATTTCGACTGTCTCATCCCTAAATACTTGTATTTATCCAAATTAAACTTTACAATTTCGGTATCGTCCCTAATAAATCTTTGGATTTTCAGATTGGAACAACTTCATTGTACCTGAACTTGAATGTCTTTACACTGTAGATGTGCAGGGTTATCTCTTGCGATAACCATAAACGCTGAAAATGGCTTGAAACAAAAATAAATTTGGAGAAATACTCGTATGTTTCTTTCATCACCTTTTATCTGCTCCATATCTTTGACCAAATACATATAATAAAAATACTTAGTTAATTGTAAATTTCAAGCATATTCTTTACAGTGAGTCTATTTAAATAGTGTTACTGTAAATGTTTTAGTCCAATCACGCTTTTTGTGCCTGTACTATTTATATATTACATCAAGTTTATAATATAACTCCTTCCCCAATAACAAAATTACCCTTCACAATAATTTGAATGGAAGTTACCCAAAGAAGTACATGTCAAAAAAATAAATTGAGCTATTAGAAGCTGGAAATGTTAATTATACCAGGGACAAAATTCATTTCCAGGTCAATCAGTCCACTGGGCAATTTCCAGTTAACACAAGACCTAAAGCAAAAATGTCCACATCATAATGTTCAACAAAAGTAATGTCCAGAGCAAAATGTCCATTGCATGATGTCCATAAATGAAATGTCCACAATATACGTCAACCGAATAATGTCAACATATCAAAATGTTAAACTAGCAGGAATGTGCAAAATGGATAATGGCATTATTGGTTCAATCGAAATGTATCCTCTTCACCAATAATAATATTTATATTCCATTTTAGCATTCTTGTTATTAAAGAATTTTGTTGGTTTAGAAATAAACTTTTTATGTAATTCGTCATGGCAACTTATATTTCTTTGCTGGAGAAGAACATAATTGTTGTGAAAACCACTTTCATTTCGCGGGTTAAAAAATGGATAAAATGTTGTGGAGGTGTTTCGAAAGGATTTTACTCAATGAAACATCATTTTTCTGAATTATCTGAATAAAACATCATTTTTCTGAATTATCTGAATAAAACATCATTTTTCGTTAATTACAGTGAACATCATATGCCAATGAGCATTTAGGTACAGTACATTTTTGCAATGGGCATATATTTAACTGGGGCGAAACTGTATTGAACCTATAATGAAATGAACATTTATACTAAAGGACATTTCCACAAGTTTTTGCACTGGCCATTTACCAGTGCACCAATTGACTGATAACCAACACTTTTTATTTATTCTTTTGAATTTATATCATCCCCACCGCCCGACTCTTAATTCATTATGATAGTTGCTTATAATATACAGATGTATTGTTAAAATATATTACAATTGATACAGATATCTTGTTAAACTATTTTGCTACTTTATTCAATAGATCACCAGAAGAGGCATCTTGGATCAAAGATTTGGGAGAGAGGACTTCCTACGAGCTACAACTAACGCTAAACAAGAACAAGTTAATTACATGCAATTGAGGTGTTAACATCTTTTCGCTCTTAGTTTTATATCACTTTATTTGGCAAAATAATTTATAGACTACCAAAATCTCATCCAGAAAGCAAAAACTAGTAAAAATTCGGCCAACAATAAAACCATCCCATGCTTATAAGCAACAAAGCCATTCCCCGTTGCTCCACATGTCATTAAGTTAAAGGCTACTTCCTGCGAGAAGAGATTGTAGCCACGAAGAATTTGTGGGCCGTTGCATCTGTAAAATAACAAAATGGATTGAAATTACTCATAGGTCCACAACTTAACAAAGAAGAAAAAACAAATTACGAATATGAATTAGTCCTCCTAAACAAGTTTTACAAGTTTTCTGGTTCCTCAAAACTGTGAAGTACGAAGATTGAACTTCAAAGATACTTCATATTTTTTTTAAATTCCAGCATTACAAAGGACTTTTTCTGTTGCAAGAAATCGTTCATAATCGAACATTTTACGGCACAAATGATGACGTATTACATTTTACGGCACGAATGATTGCGTCATCACACGTTAAGCAAAATGGCGGCGAGAGAATCGGGGGAGGTACAGGTAAACGGAATGGCCAACCACCGTTTTCTCACACAGATGTCAAATATCCGAGAACTCGTTTCTAATGTCGCTTTATTGCTTCTTACAAATTTGAAAACTCGCTCCTAAAGTCGCTCGTTTTTAAAACGTACTCATGCAATAAAGCTTAACATTATAAACTAATTGCATAAACTGTTACATGTACTGTTAAGGCAATAATACCTACATAAATGTAACCTCATTTTAGTGACCAGTAATTTTTTTCTCTCAATTGTATGTCCATAATTGATGATTAAAGATGATATTCTTTCGCCTGTGCATTGTAGAAGAAGGGACCTCATCCCTAGCTGTTTTAAAATACTGAGTGGGGAAGGAGGTGATCGCTTGGCTAGTTTTCCCAGTCTGTGATGCTTTCTTGTTTGAAAGCTGCAGTCCATTGACTCAATTGAAGTCCACCCGGATCGAACAGCATTCATAAGTTTTTAATCCGGGCTTAAAGATTTTATTAGGAGTTTATGCCGACAGCCTCACAAATAAAAAATGTTTTGTTTTAAGCTGGCTGAACTATCCACTTCGGCATGTTTAAAATAATCCTTCCATCTCTTTCTATTTTCATACATTGGTTTTTACTGTTGTTTGATGAAAGCTCGCATCCGTAATGTCATGCGTTCGTTTCTCGTACGCAGACCGTTACCATTCTCTTCTTTGACTTGCGCCTCTTGCCAAGTTTTCTTTCTTTTATTCGATGGACACCAACACAATAAAAATAAATAAATAAATAAATAAATAAATAATAAATAAATAATAATAAATAAATAAATAAATAAATAAATAAATAAATAAACAAATAAATAAATAAATAAATAAATAAATAAAATAATAAATAAATAAATAAATAAAATAATAAATAAATAAATAATAATAAGTAATAAATAAATAAAATAAATAAATAAAGAATAAAATAAATAAATAAAATAAATAATAATAAATGTAAATAAGAATAATAAATAAAATTAAGATAATAATAAATAAAATAAATAAAAATAAATAAATTAAATAAAATAAATAAAAATAATAAATTAAATAAATAAATAGTATATATCATATATTTCACATTCTAATATTAATTCAAATTGGTACCCTTTTTGGAACTTATGCCTTTATTTATTTTCAACGATTAAGTTTTATTCACATCAAATGCACCAACTTCTGTAAAAGAGACACACAAGTAGTTTTCATAAATTATGTCACTTGAAGCTGCATAGTTCACTTGGGTGTACTCTGTAGACTGGTCGCTGGGTAGAGTTTGTCAGCGCAGAGGAGGAGGGGCTTTGTAGCAAGTCGTCATTACAGTTCACAAGCACGTACGAACAAGTTATGATCTAAGTACCAGTCACTATTTTCTTCACGCGAACCGCTGCAGTTGGCACGCAGCAAGTGATTTTCAGCTTAATTGCCATTTTAAAGCAAGATTAATTACAATATCGTGTACATGTCGATCACATAGAAAAATACTACCTTTAAACTGACTGCACAGTACTGGTAATGCCAGAACACTGCTTAAAATAGGACTTTTATGTGCAGAAATGCAATTAAACTGTACGTGACAAAAGAACCACGTCCACGTGCCACAATAATCTTCGAGTCTTAATTTAACTATTTTTGCGTGTGGCGCAAATGCATAGGCAAGTTTAAAGAAGTTGGGCACAGATTGTGAAAGTCTAACTAACGGATTCCGAAAGATTCCAGAACATGTCATCTGCGTAGTCACTGTGATTGGCTGAGATTAGACGCGCCGTTGTGCAGCGCCCGCTGTGGTTTTCTGAAACTGACTGGAAGAGGTGGCTCAGGCATACAACTAATTGCCACTGCAGTTGCCTGATGACTAGCAGGTCATGTGGTATGCGAGTCCCAACGTGCAGGATTTCGACACTAGCCAGAGAAGCTAGGTCAAGTTCTGACCCGACTGGAGAAGAACTCGAGCGGCCGGTTGGTCTGATCCCCGGTAGTTTCCCGTTTTTCTTTCAAAAATCAATGCCAGGCGATACTGGAGAAGTACTTTACAAAGTGGACAAGGGACAACTTTCCTTCCCATCCCTTCCTGTCCTGACCCTTAATTACACTCCACTTACAAAGCACTGCATTACTATAGGTGCCGGGAGACCGCGCGGATCTGGTCTAACTTGAACGAGAGCTGAGGGCAGGTGCTCTGCTGGTGGTAGACACCTGCTTGGGAAATCCCTTACTACCTGGATGTAGTCGGATCCGTATCTTGCCATCCAGGCCGGCAAGATCAACCGCCGCCACACGAGCAGCCAAAACACATGCTATACACTTACGCGACTAATGACTTAGCAGTTGACGCCGTCCGGAATCACTAGTAAGTATTTCTGGGAAATTAGACGCACAAAGGCCGCACATGCCTGGGGTCATCGTTGTGATCGCCATCCTTTTGTGAAGGCAAGTTGTTTCTGCCCTGAGAATACACAGAAGTAATGCCATGGAATTAAAAATGTTTGTACTGACGAAGCTCATCCCAAATGCGCGTGGAAATGCACTCGCCGAGAAATTACGGAAAAAGAATAATTACAAGTATATTGCTGTGATGATGGACAACTCATTATGTTGACGGGAATTGGGTGTTTTTACATTGGTATCAATGAATGGAGGTTTTCCAACCAACCGAAGCGTATCTCCCAACCTGCGGGGCACTGCCCCAGCGGGTACCAGCTCAAAATCTCCAGAGGCGTCATCCGCATGTGTGGACTAGAGTATGATGTTGCGTTGTGTTAAGAGACGAATAGAACAAGGAAGAGAAGAGAAGATTGTCGCGCGGTCAGTGGCATGTATTGTTAGGATTCTGCTTCCGCATTCGCCTGGTGTTCTCTAGAGACCACGTCATACTACCCGATCGCTATGGAGCAGCCGGACGTGTCAGACTTTCTCAACCACGACCAGCGCCGAGGACTCTGACCTAGATATCCAGCTATAGTGTGGAAAATCCTGTCACCGTGGCGGACTCGAACCTGGGACTTCCCGGTCAGAAGGCACTGCAGTGACTTCAGCCGACGCACTTCCGCCACCTCTCCCAGTTTGGTGAGCGGCTGCGTCCACGGCCGTCAGGTCATTCCC